TCTTCCGATTGATCTGACTCTGGCGGGAAAAGTCTACTCCCAAGGCTTTCAAACAGCAAAATGGCGCGGGTGGCTTGGTCTCCTTCCGGGCTGTTGGGAGTGCAACAGGCTGCAGCCCTGGTAACAAAAAGACTAGTACCATCTTCTTTATCATCATCTTCAGATGACGGGTCCAATTCCATCCGCAGCTTGTGCTGCTTAAATTTGCAGATGTCAGACTTCAACTGCTCCGCAAAGAAATCCATAACCCGGTCGTGTAACAACTTATAGTGCGGGTCACAGTGGAGCCTCTGCGAGGCAGCATCAGCGTCTTGGCCTTGTTGTAGAAGAAGGCCGTAGAGAATCTCGACAAGGTCCCACATAGAAGCGAAATTGCCGGAGCCGGTAAAGGAGGGGAGGTTGTATAATAGCGTCTTGGGGTGGTTGTGGTGGACCCACAATGCGGCCGTGGAGAAGGCCTCCGGATAACATTTTCCTTCAGGAGCAGAGATAGAATTGAGATTGAAGATGAGCTTGAGGGTGGTTAGGGGATTGTGAGACCAGGCCACCGGCAGCAGTTGCTTCAGATAGTTAAGGGAGGCATGCTTCTTCTGTAGCGTCTCCTTGGTTTCTTCATAGGATAACTCTGGTGGTGTCACATGGAAACACCAATCAGGGCGGTGGTCTGGTGATGTCACGTGGAAATATAGATCATGGCAGGGATCACCGTAGGAAAAGGAGGAGGAGGAAATAGGGGAGATGGAGGAGATCTTGGCCATGTCACCCTTGGAGTTAGAAGCCATTAATCTTCTCGTGAGCAGTGGAAGTGGAGGAGGAGCCAAGAGTTTCAGAAACCTTGTGAAAGTGAAACATACTTGCACTGGTACTGGTTTCTTCATCTCTAATATTCCCTCTAATTCAAATTCAACACTCTCTCTTGATTTTTAGGGTTCCAATGAAAAGAACACCCTTGTTTCTCTCTCTCTGTTTCTTTTCTAGACGTAATTATAGATTCGCTGCCACCAAGGATTTTATTTTTTCTTTCCTACTTGGAAGAAAAGGAATTATAAGACGTATCAAATACACGAGATAATTATAACACAAACAATTGTCAGTGGAGTAAAACTCTAAAAAATGATTTCTTTTTTTTTTTGGGTTGGATCTAAAAAAAGATTTACAGTCTCAAATTTTGTTCACCAAAAAAATACTAATAAAAGATAAAGATTTTCCTTTTTCTTTTATTTATTTTTTCGTTTTTTGAGGTCGAAAGATTCTTTATTGAACACTTTGACATAGTTAATGCACTCGAAAATATTGTAACAAACTCTGTGGGCAACCGAAACACATCTAATGCATCTGAATTTCTTTTTCCCTTTTTAATATAAATGGCAACCTCTCATTGATTTGAAAAATTAAAATCATTGACAAAGATCAAGCGTTCGAATCATATAACTTAAAATCTCTGTGAATTTTCTTTGGAGTGTTTGTACTTTGGAGTTTAAGACTTTTACCACTCTTTATAGTTTTTACTTATTATGGAAGATATAGTTGGTTAGGCTTTTTAGGAGCAACATAATTTGTGCTAGATTCGCATTTTCGTTCTTAAATTCAAAAAATGAATGTTGTAGTCACTCAATTCCACATCAGTTTGAGAACTGAAGTGCCCAACTTCATCGTTATAACATGTTCCAACTCTAGACTCCCATCAACATCATGTCAACGTAGGGTTTATCATTAGGGTTTCGTTATTCTGACAGAATAATCTTATAAAGGGAAATCGAACGATAACTTTAAGGTAAAAAAGTCAGAATCTAGAGAAAATCTCTAAATTTGATTAATGATATGAATAAACTCTTAAATATAATGCCATGAGTTGGCTAAAATAGAAAACAAAGAAACCCTAGAATCTAGAATAATCCTAAACTTAACTAACAAGAAAATAATAAAAATTCTAGGTAAACTCATATTAGGAAAATAATACACCAATAGATAACGTATTCTAAAATATAAAATAAAATATTAAACTAAATATAGATTTTGACAAAATCCATAATTGCTTCAAACTTCCTCAATCAATCCAAAAATCTCAACGATACGCCTTCCTTTTTTTCCTATCGCCATAATTGATACTCAAACATGATTTTCCATATTTGAAGCCCAATTATCTGATTTGGCCATTTTCTAAATTTCAATAAACCCATGTTTTGTCCTACACAAAACTTAAAAATCCTACCCACCTATAGTTAGTAACCTAGCGGATATGAAGGAAGGATAATGAATGGTTCATGTCCTCTTAAGTTACTCACGATTAGGTGAGATAGATTTTTTAGATTTAGAAATGCATCATTCCCTTGATATCTAAGGTTAGGCTCCTCTATTGACCCCCAAAAAAAAAGGGTTAGGCTCCTCCCCTATTTTATTTTATTTTTTTTGCCAAAGTTAGGAAGGGAGAGGAGGCTTTATCACATACATGCTACAAGGATTTATCACTCATGAAGGTTATACCATTTGCCACTGAACTAGACCATGTTAGCAACATCTTTACATTTTCAGAAGCACGATTTTGATGACTTATTATAATTGAAGAGACTAATCCAGGAGTGACGTTGTTGAGTGCCTCCTTCTACCTTCTACGACAATTTGATCAGGTCCTTCTTGGACAATGAGTATCAAACTCTCTCTGTAGTCGACTGAACTTCAACTCTGAGATCAAGATCATCCATTGGATATTAGGATTGAAGGGATTGATGATCTGATCTGATTTGATCTTATGATTCATCATCTCCTAGGTAGACTTAATTAGTTAGTTCAGTAACCTTTAATTGAATCTGCTTTGCACTTTTGCACTGATATACTATTGTCTGTCTGAAAAAAAATGTGGACGAAATTGATAATAAGTCCATGAATTATTAAGAGACGAGATGAGATTAGATGAAAAGATTTGGGATTATTTAACTATTAAAGCAAAGGTTTCATTTTCCACTTGGCTTTTATTGAGGTTCCTCTTTTTATTTTTTTTTATTTTTGGTAAAAGGGGGGCCGAAGCCCAAACAACACAAAAAGAACTACACAAAAACCATCCTTGGACGAGCCAAGCTTCTGGCATCAGCAGCAAGAAGCTCAACAACCACATCAGGTGTTGAATCCAAAACATGCAAACCCAAGGGAAGATCATGGCTCATAGAAGCCAACGAATCAACAACAAAATTATGCTGTCGAAAAATATGCTTGATAGAACAACACCACTCCTTCTGAATCAGCAAATGGTAGCAATTGGTAATGCTAAAAAGAGGATGAGTAAGACTAGTAGGATTCTATAAGAGAACCACAGCATACATAGAATCACATTCAACCTCCACACTTCGAAAACCAGCTTTCCAAGCTAAATGGAGCCCCCAAAAAATACCCCATAACTCAGCTTCAATCACTTACCCAACATCAAATTAACAAAAAAAACCTTTAATCCAATTACCAGCATGATCTCTTAACAGACCCCCAGCTCCAATGTAACCAAGAGCATGCTTTCAACTACCATCAGAACTAACCTTACAAATCCCTGGCAAAGGGGCTTGCCGATGAAGATAAACTACACCCTGATGGAGAGGAACAGAGATAGACAAGTGTTAGGGACACAAAAACCATAGACTTTTCAAAATTGACCTTCTAACCAGAAAAGGAGCAAAAATCATCCAAACACTGCTTCATCACCAAAGCCTACTCTATAGAGCCTTTCCTAAACAAAACCAAATCATCAACAAAAAATAAATGAGAGACAAAGGGCCCTCCTTAGCAAATCTGCATAGTCTTCCAACTTTGGTAAAGAACTTTCTGCTAAATTATATAGGAGAGCTTTTCCATACATAGAACGAAAATGTAAGGAGAAAGAGGGTCTCCTTGTCGTATACCACACTTAGGAGAGAAATCAGTTGTTAACTCACCATTTAAAATAGCTTTATATTGCACAGAACTAATACAATGCATGATGAGCTCCAAAACTCTTCCCCCAATACCAATTTCACAAAGAATCTCTCTAATAAAAGACCAACTTAAATGATCATAGCCTTAGAGATCAATTTTCCAAGCAATAAAACCCTTTTGCCCTTTAGCAATCTTGAACTTATGAAGCATCTCCTGAGCAATCACAATATTATCAAATATATGTCTCTTTAGCACAAAACTAACTTGAGTGGGGCTAACAATTTTAGTCATAATATATAGGACGAAGCCTAGAAACTAAATGAATTATTTCAAATATTTTTCTTTTATTTTATTTTTTAGAATTTAAAGAATATATGCAGATGGCATTGATAACTTATTACTGGACATCCTTAATTTTGTGTGGGGATTTTTTTTTCCTTTCTGAATTCAAGAAATAGTCTAAATTTTGATTTTTCACACACACACATTATCAAGGTGTCAAGGAGTTCTAATCTAAGACCACAGTCTGCAAGTCAGGACATTTTCCACTAAGCTAGACCATGTTGCTGCTGTTGTTGGTTTGTTTCATCTTTAATTTTTATTTTATTGAAGTTAATAGTGTTAATGTTGAAGTTAAGTGGGTGGACATGTGCCAAAATATCTGCTCTCCTATGAAGGAGTTCAACTTCTCTTTTCCTTTTTTCCGCTTGATTCTCCCGCATGAAATATGTGCTGAGAATATTGGCATGCATTTCTCATGCTCTCCCGCTATAAAAGTCCATCTCCTGCAACAACCACCATTACAGAACAGGCAACACCAAACACCATTTACAAAATAGTGATACGAAGGAAGTGGAACCAAGCCAAGAAAAACAATGGATGGTTGGAACCCAACTTTCAGTCAATCCACACGCAGATCCAGACTCAATGAAGACAAACATATTACTGGTAATTATCTCAATTCCAATCATTTGTTTGTCTTCCATTGAGCTTGGATCTACTGTATCCAGATTGATTGAAACTCAGGCTACCTCCCACTCTGTTTTTTTTTTTTTTGTTGACTTGTTCAACCTCTCGCCGAAACCCCTCCTGCCCTCTCGGTTTCTCCTTCTTCCCCCTCCATTTTTCTTCTCTGCATCAAATGACAGGAAGAAGGAGAAACCGAGAGGGCAGGAGGGGTTTATCCAAATCAACTGGAAGTCCTGCAAAACCCAAAAATTGAGAAACATGGAGGGGGAAGAAGGAGAAGAAAAATGGCAGAAAGCTCCAACTTTGAGAAACCATGTGCACCCCGCTTCACCGATCAGTTTTTTCAAAATTGTATAACCATGTGCTGTTAGTTGTATATTGTGAACTGGCGTGTTAGTTACGATTACTAGTTAGTTAGCACTCTGTTAAGTTAATCAGCTGTTACTTTGAGTTTTAATGAAAACCATTCCTTCAATATCAAATATATCTCTCTCGAACTCTCTGTTCTATCTTCTGTGATTTCTAAGCTTGATTGAGCTCTTTAATGGAGTTATAGAGGAAAGCTTTCATTTTGTGGACTGGGATCAAGCAGTTGGACCAGATTTGGCACACTTTTGTCATCCCTTTTCACTTCTCTGCAATTGGGTGAAAGGGTCATCAAACTCAAAATTGCCTGTGCAGCAACCTCTCTTGCACTGTTTGATTTAGCTTCAAGCATCTTCACAAGGAGAGGAATGCACCCGGCTTCACTGCCAATCAGTTTTTTCATCTCTGTTGAGCTGCAAACCCTGCAAGTTGCGGATGCAGCAGCCTGCTGTGCACCTAGTGAACCGGATTTAAGCACGTGAACCATGCACGGGAGGAAACCAAGAGAAACCAAAACCTCCATAGAAACTGAGCCAACCAAATTCCTCAA